CACAGAGGTGGGGCTTAAGTCTTCTCATCATTGTCAACAACAATTTAAAGTTCTTAATGTTATTTATTTATTAACCAATTAGAATCTATTTGCCATTTGACAAATTCTAACTACATTGCACTGAGAATGCCAGTCTTACTGAAAGTCCAAGCGTACCTGAGAACTCTTCTGAATGCCCTAGAGTAGCTTAAAGAGAATAACAAAAAGAGACAAGTTATTTCATATTTATAGCAAAATCTTTTCTATGAACTTTTTTATGCTCATGCACTAGCTAGCCCTTAAAGGTACATAGACACAGTTTCAGCAAAAAAAAAATTAAAATTTATTTTCCCAATTTTTAAGTTTACAAATACTTAACTAAGATATTTTAAATGATTAACAAAAATTTGAATTTCAGTTGCCAAGGTACAACTACAAGAGGGACTTTGAGCTCCAAACCTTTGTTATGTAGCTAAACAAGGCTTGTGTCATGTTTTTGTTTACAAAGGTTAAATACACTAATATATGTTCATTCAAAGCACACTTTTTCAATAAAGACGTTTATTCTAAATATGAGACAGTTTTTAGTGATTTGCTGAATCTGGTTTTGTTAAAAATTTGATATTTTCTATATGTAAATGATAACAAGGCATGAGCCTTGTTTACATAATACATGTACTCTGGTATGAAGAATTTTAACTTCTGTATCTCCTTTGTAAATCAACAAATGATGTTCAAATTTTTGCCAATCATATGAATTGCCTTTATTAGGAATTGTAAGCATTAAAATAAGTTTTTAAAAAAATCAGTTGAAACTGTGTCCGTGTCCCTTTAAAATAAACATACTCATGAATGAATAGGTACCTAACAACAAGTATCATGGAGGATTGACTGTCCACCAGCAGAGATACATGTTCAGCGGTTAAAATGAAAAAAATGAAACAAATGAATAAAGAAATGATTTCTGATGAAACACATTGTCCTGCCTTGTGTCAAGCTGACTTTGTCCACACTTCCTGGCTGACATGAAGTAAGGAGTTCAAGTCAGTTTTATATATGATATCATAATTTTCTTTTACACTACCATATAGTTTTGGCTATTAAACTTTTATTTTGGACGTTGAAAGTGCGATAGGTATTATATGACAATCCAAAACCACTTCATTTAGGATAGAGTGTTTAATAGGGACAATTTGATAGGTCCAGTTTGATTGTCATACATCTAAAGTTATGTCTAAATAGGTAACCTTGATAATAATGAAATGAAACACACACTAGCATCTAGCACAGAACATATACTTTTATGATTTCAGAATTGAGTGTTTAAGTGTGTAAAAAGTTGTAGCAGATCTGCTGTCTAGATTTATAAACTCCATTGTCCCTGATGAGTATATAACCTGTTAAGGACTTGTGATACAAGTGTTTTCATGTTTTTTTTTAACATTTCATACTGATAAACTGTACTTTAGACAGTAGCAATTAACTTGTAGTCAGTTATTTTTAACTTTAAAAAAAAATTAAGTGTTTGTCTGTCTGTATCATGTAAAAATATTTGTGGAAATTTAATAATTACATTACAAAAGGCACTAACAAGAAGAATTGTTCATAAAGGAACTGAAGTAAAAGGTATGGCTTAATTAATAATTAGTGGAAGAAGTAATCATTTTCAAGAATCTCTCTCACTCTCTCTCTGAAATTTTTAATATACTATATGGAAAAGATAACTGGAGATAAATTGTTTTATGATTATTGGCACTGGAGTTATGGAGATAGAGAAGCTTGTGTTGTGGATCTTTGTGGGTGGATAGGCTAACTGCAAAGAAAATATTTTGTCAATTGTCATCTACTTTGGGAAGGGGGGGGGTTAGAGTTGGGCAGAAAGGGCATTATTTCTCAATCTACAGTAAAGTTGGGGGCACATTTTCATTTATTGACATTGAAGTCTATATTTTAAAATGCATGTGTAGTGTATTGAATAGACTGCTCAATATATAGGCAATATAAATTGGAAGACACATACAACAATTTTATTGACTACTTAACAGCTGTAGAACTTTAATCTGATCATTCTCAAGATGTTACGCTGGACAAAAGTTGTCATTGATTTTAGCGATGGGGTCCAAAAGAAACCAGCGTTCATTTAATGTGATGCTGATGATGTCAACAATTTTTTTATGTTTATACATATTTGAAAGTTTTTCACTTAACTTAAGGGTAAAATTTATCTTGGGAAGACAACACGGAATTGAACCAGGTAATCACAGTTATTATTTTATCATAATATCATAAAGATGTTAAAATTTGTTTTATTTTAAGAAAATGCGGATTTCTATATTCATAAAAATTTGATTTTTTTAAAAATCTTAATGAATAAAAGAATTAATAGATATTTTATTTTAAAAGAAAATATACAATAACGTGATGGTATACGAAAAGATGGTAAAAGGAAAAGATGATTATTTCATTACGGAAAGCTTAAAACATTCTGATACCTTTAATCAACAATTATTTTAAGGAAAAATGATTAAATATAACTTTAAAAGTTAAACTAGTAGAAAGGTTTATTTAAATTATGCCTTAACGAAAATATAAGCATTATACAAGCATATATATAGGGATCATCAGATTTTTTTTTTGTTTTTAGCTAACCTGAGCCGAAGTCTCAAGTGAGCTTTTCTGATCAAATTTGTCTGTCGTCTGTCGTGGTTATCGTCGGCGTAAACTTTTCACATTTTCATCTTCTTCTCAAGAACCCCTTGGCCAATTTCAACCAAACTTGCCACAAAGTATCCTTAGGTAAAGGGAATTCAAGTTTATTCAAATGAAGGGCCAAGCCCTTTTCCAAGGGGAGATAATTATGAATTAGTGAAAAATTAATGGCATTTTTCAAAAATCTTCTTCTCAAGAAACACTGGGCCAGGAAAGATGAAACTCGTGTGGAATCATCCTCAGGTAGTGTACATTCAAGTTTGTTCAAATCATGATCCCCGGGAGTAGGGTGGGGCCACAATGGCCGATCAAAGTTTTACATAGGAGTATATAGGGAAAATCTTTAAAAATCTTCTTCTCAGGAACCACTGGCCTTGGGGCCATAAAACTTAGACGAGCTCACTTTTGATCTCAGACTCACTTTTTCACTATTATTCTTTTGGAAAAAGTGAGACTGAGATCAAATGTGAGCTCGTCTAAGTTTTATGGCCCCCAGGCCTGGGCCAGGAAAGATGAAACTCATGTTAAAGCATCCTCATGTAGTGTAGATTCAAGTTTGTTCAAATCATGACCCCCGAGGGTAGGGTGGGGCCACAATGGCCGATCAAAGTTTTACATAAGAGTATATAGGGAAAATCTTTAAAAATCTTCTTCTCAGGAACCACTGGGCCAGGAAAGATGAAACTCATGTGAAAGCATCCTCATGTAGTGTTGTAGATTCAAGTTTGTTCAAATCATGACCCCTGTGTGTAGGGTGGGGCCACAATGGCCGATCAAAGTTATACAAAGGAATATATAGGAAAAATCTTTAAAAATCTTCTTCTCAAGAATCATTGGGCCAGGAAAGATGAAACTCATGTGAAATCATCCTCAGGTAGTGTAGATTCAAGTTTGTTCAAATCATGACCCCTGGGGATTGGGGGGGGGGAGCAAAATGGCTGATCAAAGTTCTACACAGGACTAGATAGGGAAATCTTTTAAAATCGTCTTCACAAGTATTTCAAAGCCATGATTAGTGATATTTATGTGGAATCATCCTCAGGTAGTGTAGATTCTAGTGTCAAATCATAACCCCCAGGGATAGGGTGGGCCACAATGGGGGATCCAAGCTTTACATTAAAATATATATTAAAAAATCTCAAGAATAGCAAAGCCATTATTAGTAATACTAGTATTTATATGGAAGCATTTTCTGGTAGTGTAGAATTAAATTTGTTCAAATCATAACCACCAAGGGTAGGGTGGGGCCACAATGGTGGATCAAAGTTTTACATAGAAAAATAAAGGAAAAAATCCCAAGAACAGAAAAGCTATGTTTAGTCATATTGACATTTAAGCATCCTCATGTATTGAAGATTTAAATTTATTCAAATCATGGCCCTTTGGGTTAGGGAGGGAAACATGGGGAATCAAATTCAAATTATTATGAAGTTATATATAGGAAGAAAATGTTTTTAAAAATATTTTTACCAACAACAGCGAAGTCATATGCTGTAGTAATATGAAGGCAATCTCAAGTAGTAGTAAAATTCAAGCCCCCCCCCTCCCTTCAGTGAATCTTTCAGTTCTGATCTGATTTGTGATTTTTCCTAGCCGATTTGCTCAGGTGAGCGATGTGGCCCCTGGGCCTCTTGTTTATAAATGAGTTTAATGTCTTAAAAAAGGACTTGCCGATTGTTTTTTCTTTATGAAAAAATTATAAACACAAGCTTGTAATATCCATGTAATTGACTGTGTTTTCTCCACTTTATTTTTGGTGCCTTGAGTTGTTATAGCTTGTATGGCTTTGAATACTGAACACGATAAACGTTGTTGTAAGCGTATTTTAAGCTTTGTCTAGACACAATATATATTGTTTATAAGACGATTTCATGATATTTGTAATGTTTTGCGGCAACGTGAATAATCCTCGTTGTTGATGTTTATTAATAAAATAGTAAACATATTGATCATTGATAGCTCATAAAGTCACAAGAGAAACCTCTGACAAACTGCTGTCGTTCCATAATTTGGAAAACTTTCCGATGATTCTAGATATTTACTTTTCCTCTCTACATAATAGACATACGAGTACCTGTTTTTCAACATTAAGCGCATACCAGAAATCAAAATGAATCCTTAAAAACACAGTGTGTATGACATTTATGAAATTCTATTCCATAACAATAAATGCATGTTAATGAGTAAAACTGTGACTTGGATAAATTGAGTCTTGGAATTAATTAGTACCGCCTGTTTGCGGCCCCGGTATTAATTCAGTATTATTGTAATGACAGAGGCCGTCTGACAATTGACGCTCTGTGTAGAACTCTCTCTAACTTCACTGTTCTGTGTTGGACTCTCACTTCACTGCTAGTGTCGCTCGTGGCACCCTCCCTCAGTCCGCCAATCCGGGGGCTAGAGTTAAAATAATGGAATATAACGATATCGCCCTTAAATACAGGTAACGGTATTCTCCATCTCTTCTGATATATAATGATGCTCAATTTGTATATTGTTTTATAGGTCTTTTGATCATGGTCATGGCGGGTTATCCTTGACATATATTTCTTTATTTCTGAAGGTATTATGGAAATATGAATGCGTTACACCATGTGTAGATGTACATGTATAGTTATATATAACCGAGAGTTTTTCTCTCTTTTAATTTTTATTAATTGTGTATTAGAATACAATATTGAATTTTACATCTTACATCTAATTTCTTCTGTATTGAAACAAGTACATTTTAAAAATAATTTCTGTTGATAAATTCAGTGCTTTGTTTTATTAATGAATCACTTGATTAAGTGCAGTGAGTCAAAAAATAATCATGACGAATTATCAATCGTTACACTGTAGTAGTGGCTATCAAATCTGATTTATTACAACTGTTCAAAATGTAAAAAAAAAAAATGTATACAGATTACACGTATATTTAACGCGATTCTCTCTCTCTCTCTCTCTCTCTCTCTCTCTCTCTCAATAAATCACTCTAATCTCCACGTATATGTATTTCTGAATACCATTCAGTTTGTATTTTGTTTGAACAAGATTGCGCGTGAAGAAGTCGTGCATTCATTCCTATATATATGTATATTTAATTAACATTTTTTTGTTAGTCTTAAAAGGTTCGGCTTTAAAATGTGCACTAAATTCGTCATGATTTTTTTTTCTTAAAATATGACGCCCGTCACTCATGGAGAACAAGTGACAATTAATTGCTATAATTTTAGCTTTGCTAATTAACAGTCTGGGGCACATAAAGGGGAAAGTACTGTACGTATTTACAAAATACAGGTTTTCTTTATGGCAACTGTCATTTACATAAGAAATTTCAAGTCTTGACTCTGGCTTGTTCACCATGTTACTACAGTAAATTTCTCCATGGGAACCCTTGAATGAAAGTTGAAATTTTATAAATAAATCTTATATATTGTAAAAAGTTCATAAAGAAAGCATGAACGTCGGTATCCTTTTAAACATATACATAATATAGGCCTTTGAAAATTAGGATTTACCCTTTTTCGTTGGTTTAGCCCCCCCCCTTCAATTTGCTTTCGACGCCTATGGAGAGTGTGTATAGACATAATTAAAACAATATATACTGACTTCTTTGTCTCAACACATACAAATTGATGTTATTTGACAATTTGTTAGGGGGGGGCGGGTAAGATAAGTGAAGTATTGTGTCGAGGTACTACAATGTACATGTACGGTAAAGGCACGGGTACATCTTTCAAAAGAAGAGCCACATTTAGTAACTTGGTATTTGTTTTTAAACCCTTTGTGTTAAAAAAAATTATTGTATTCAGTAAATAGTTTTAAAAATGTTTAAATTGAGAAAACCACCGAAAACTTTATCGGATCAGTTTTTTGTTTCATCATGTAAATTGATAGCTGCAACACAAGATCACTTTCTAAATAGAGAAGTCAACAGACTTTCGCTTACATCCACGTCCGCTTCTGAAAAGAGAATACCCCCCCCCCCCCTTATTTTTACTTTGTGAGCACAGTGCTAAAATCCCACGAATGCCATTCAGTAGATCTTTAACTTTTCGAGTTACTTTATACTGGTATTGAAAACCTCAAAGTAAATAAGAACAACGTCTTTGTTGTTGTAGGTCCTCTGTCCAGTACAGCGCACCACCGGAAGTGACGGACGACGATGACAGAGACCACGAGCGCCTACTACAGGAAGTGATTCACCACGACGACCCGGATCCCCGCCAAAAACCTGTCACCATGGCAACAGGAAAATCATTATCCCTGCTTCAGATAATTCTTCTAAACGCGGTGGTATGTGGTGTTGAGATTTGCGCATGCGCTGGATTCACCTACATCCCTCCTATGCTGTTAAAGGCGGGGTACACGGAGGAGAACATGAGTATAATATTAGGAATGGGGCCCTTGCTCGGGTTCTTCTTCGTTCCAGTAATAGGCCGTGCAAGTGATAACTGCCTCAGTGCTTGGGGTAGACGACGGCCTTTCATTTTGGGAATATCATCAGTTCTAATGTTTGCGCTAATTATTATACCGTACTGCGATTGGATCAGTCTGTCTATATTTGGTCCAGGAACTGTGAGTAAAACGGGGGCGCTGCTGATTTTAACAGTAGGAGTAGTTCTGCTTGACTTCACTAGTCAGGCTTGTCTTACACCGTGTGAAGCCTTGCTAAGCGATGCATCAAAAGACTCTAATCAGCAGGAACGTGTGTTCATGGTGTACTCTCAAATGGTGTCGTTAGGGGGATTTCTGGGGTATTTAGTTACTGCCCTGGACTGGAATACGAACCCTCTCGGTGCTCTGATTGGTGGACAAGAAAGGACTGTGTTCACTGTGCTGGTCTTCCTGTTTGTATTTTTGTTGTTTGTGACTGTAGCTGTAGCCAAAGAGGAGCCACAAATCGCACTCCAGAATTCTCACACCCTGGACATAAAGCCCCCAGTAGAGGGTTCGACCTCTCTTTCCGTGTTCAATGGTCCGGCTTTGGAGTCGGGGTACGAATCAAGTGGTTCGGAAGACGGCGCTTTGCCAAATGTGCTTCGCAAACCCCGATCTAAATCACGTCGTCACAAAAGAAAATTCCGTCCTATTTTATTGTTGTGTATGCCATTTATTTTTGTTTTAAAGCGCTTTAGATTATTTTCATACGTGCAATTTTACGGCAGACTAGCTCTTGCAGCTATACAAGACAAGCTTCCAGAATCTGTTAAACTGCTGTTAGATATTCCGCTCGTATTGCAGAAACTGGCCATAGCGAACTTCTGCAGCTGGACTGCAGTGATGGGATTCAACCTTTTCTTCACAGACTTTGTAGGACAGGCCGTTTACGAGGGGAATCCCAATGCGGAGGAAAACTCCTATCTGCGTGCTCGATATGACGAGGGTGTTCGAATGGGATCCTGGGGACTCCTGTTTCACTGCATCACTTCCGCTGTCTATGCCTTTTTCGTGGAGAATTTAGTGGAACGTGTCGGGATCCGCCGGACGTACGCCGCAGGGATGGTGACCTTCACCTTGTGTATGGCGGGCATGGTGGTGTTCCGGAACATCTATTTTGTGAACACTATGGCAGCTCTGACGGGTTTTGCGTATGCGACTCTCACGACCATCCCCTTCATTATTGTCACCAAATACCACTCCGAAAAAGAGGTCAGTTCAAACTCTCCTTCTATATTATTTTTTTAAACTGAGCTATGTTAATGAATTTTCTAGTATTCATCGAAATCTAGGTTTGTATTTTTTAATATTATAACCTACTGATATGGTACCGGTGTGTTTTAAATTACTTTCACTAAAAGATCACAGATTAAAAAAAACTTGTCGATAGATACTTGCATTATATCTTCATGTTTTTGGAAGTAAAATCGAATTCCGATTTAAAAAGACGTATAAAGGTATTGATCTTGGAAAACTTAACTTGGAAAGAATGAGAAAACTGAATGACGTTTTATATGTCGCACGGAAGCTTAAGTGCTGTGATAATCCAAATCATACTTCAAAATATTTCTAAGAAGCGTGTTGTTTTTGCATTTGCATGTTTTGCTTCCATAAATATGTTTTCATATGGCAATGAAGGTCGACAAACATTAAACTGAATTTTAAAATTTCTCTTTCTCTCGAGATTGTTGGAAGGGGGGGGGGGGAGTGAAACTTTACAATAATTTAGAATCGCCCCAAACACGAAGAATCGCGCTAAACCATGAAGAATCGTCTAAAATCATGAATATTAACAAAAATGCTAAAAGGACTACTTTTTCTTCATAATAAACTATAAAGAAACAGACTCTATAAATTTAATTATTTTGCAAGAACGCCAAAATATTTTTGAAGATTTTTAAGAAAACCGATATTTTTGTTTTATTTTACATACCTAGATTGGACATCGGGAATTTCTCCATTTTGAGGGAAATGTGAGAGTTATAAAATTTAAAAGGATATACTTTATACTTAACTTTACATTGGTTCCTTTAGGAGCTTTGCAAAGATTTACAATGCAGTGGTTGAACAACATTACCAAAATAACTTTCTCACGTCGTCATTCTTTAAATTTTTAATCATTATAATGACTACTATTTAAAACTTATTTTAAATGTCTTGAAAACAGTAAATATGTTATAATAATAAAGTTGGCGCTTCTTTGTAGGTATACTTCCGGACAGAGAATGGGAAGAATAACTTCCGGGGCATTAGAACGGATATTGCCACCCTAGACTCCGCCTACTTCCTGTCTCAGGTAATCCTCTCGGGAATGATGGGATATGTTGTGCACATGACCGGAACTGTCCTGTCTTACATGATCACGGCAGGAATTATGGGCATTTTGAGTTGTTTCTTTATTCAGAGTATTATTACGTCTCGCGAGGAAATGTTGAGCGTAACTAAAACCTGGCATTCTGTCGTCAATATATGAATTTTCATTGCTGAATAGCTTTACAAGGTGCTTTACTGTTTTGTCTGATATAATGTGTTTTATTATACGGTGCTTTGTTTAAGACTGTTGTACTCAAGGTTGACAAATGTTTTAAAAATGCCAGTATTTTGACCACTAGCCAAAAATGTTTAATAATTTACAGACTTGTCTAATTAATCAATCATTCGATCGATCGATATGCCTAAACCAAATTGTGTACTATGAAACATTTTCAGTGCCCTATTTGCAATTCAAAAATCAAAATACATTTTTTTTTTTGAGAATTTAAAAAAAAAATACACTATGGATTTAAATATTTTTTTTAATTTCTTGCGTTTACTTTTTTGTTCTATGGAATATGTTCTGTTAATTTCATTAATAAACCAAATACTAGTATACTCTAGGCAAAATATAAAG